ACAGTTGACTGTGCAAGTTTAGAGTTCGGGAAACAGCGGTCTGGGAGAGAGACAGTTTGGAGAGTTGTCAGCTTATCTGAGACCAGAAGATGGATGAACTCCTCGGGACTGGAGGGAGTGGATACAGAGAAGAGAGCTTGTCTAGAGATGGAGGCCAAGGGACTCCATCACTGGGACGTCAGGAAGGAAAGGAAGGACCTGACCTGGGGGGCCAGGAAAGAGCAGCTGAGGGCGAGAGGAAATCCAGGAAAGTGCGGTGTGCGGGAGGCCACGGGAAGGAAGAGGGGCCGGAGGGGGAGTGGCGGGCCCTGTCAGAACTCAGATCAGTGGAAGAAGAGGCGTCCCCCGTGGAGGTTCTCAGAGACCCTGAGGATGACAGCCGTGGTGGGAATGGCGCAGGTAGGAAGGCTGACGGAGCGCAGCCAGGAGACAACCAGAGAAGTCTTCAAGAGCAAAAACAGACGGCTCTTGAGGAGTTTGCTATAACAGGAAGGTGAGGTGTGGGGCGGTAGCCAGCAGGGCATATGGGGACAAGAGAGGATTTTTTTTTTAATGAGAGGAATATTAGTAGCCTGTTCGCTAATGGAAATGATCCAGAAGAGAGAGCAAAGTTGACTGTGTGGGAGAGGAAAGAATGACTGGAAGAGCCTCTTAGAGTCAGTGAGCAGGTGAGCAGAGGTGGGGGGGGTGGGCAGGAGCCCCCCGGTGTGACCGAACGTGGCCACACAGCCGTGGCCAGGAGCTCATGTGGCGGGGGCTCTTTTCCTATCGCTCCAGTTTTCTTGGCACAGTGGGAATCAAGGCTGTTAGCTCAGCGTGAAGGCGGGGTGGGAAGGTGTTTGGGGTGTCAGGATGGAGTGAAGGGGTGAGTGCCCAGACTGGGGAAAATGCAGTGTGATCACTGGGCTTCACGTTTGGGATCATGAAGTCCAAGTCAGAACAGAGAGCAGATCATCTGATTCTCTCCAGGCGTGTTCGGCTTGTGCCGCCAGATTTATACAGCGTTAGAATCTGCCTGGTGAGTGTGGAGAACAGCGGCGGGCAGAGGCCCTTGGGGGTGGGCAGGGACCGCTTGTCCAGACGGTGGCATTTCAGCCGAGCAATGCGCAGAGGGCACAGTGGGCATGAGGAGGAGTGAAACGCGGGAGGATCAGCAGGTCTTAGGCCTGGTGGGTTCGAAGGATTGTTGTTGTTGACACACCGGAGAGAATGAGCTGGAAAGAAAGGGAAGTGGGGATCAGAGACTGGGCCACGTGACATAGACGATTCAGTCGTCAGTATCGGTGATGATAAGGTCCAGAGTGTGATCAAGTGGGTGCAGGACTCGGACAAGGACGAGGGCGAGACCCCTGGGGACGGAATCACGGGGTTTAGAGGCTGGGATGTCCGCAAGTGCACGTGTCAAAACCATGAACTGTTAGCGTGGGAGGAGTCCTGGGGAGAGGAACAGTGTGTGACGGACTAAAGTCAGGAAATGAGCAGGGGGCTTCCTTGGTGGTCTAGTGGTTACGAATCTGCCTTCCAGTACAGGGGGCGTGGGTTTGATCTAGGAACGTTCCACATGCTGGGAGGCAGATAAGCCCATGTGCCAAAACTCCCAAAGCCTGGTGCCTTAGAGCCCATGCTCTGCAACAAGAGAAGCCACCGCAACAAGACCTCGCATCACAATGAGACAAAGCCCAAGCACAGAAATGAAGACCCAGTGCAGCCAAAATTTAATTTTTTTAAAAAGACTCAGTGCAGCCAAAAATAAATGCTCCTTGGAAGAAAAGCTATGACAAACTTAATGTATTAAAAAGCAGAGACATTACCTTGCTGACAAAGGTCCGTATAGTCAAAGTTCTGGTTTTTCCAGTAGTCATGTATGGATGTGAGAGTTGAACCATAAAAAAGGCTGAGCACCGAAGAATTGATGCTTTTGAACTGTGATGTTGAAGATTCTTGAGAGTCCCTTGGATCAAACCAGAGTCCACACAGATCCAACCAGTCCATCCTAAAGGAAATCAGTCCTGAATATTCATTGGAAGGACTGATGCTGAAGCTGAAGCTCCAATACTTTGGCCACCTGATGTGAAGACCTGATTCACTGGAAAAGACCCTCATGCTGGGAAAGATTGAAGGCAGGAGGAAAAGGGGATGGCAGAGGATGAGATAGTTGGATGGCATCACCGACTTAATGGATGAGTTTGAGCACTCTGGGAGATGGGGAAGAACAGGGAAACCTGGCGTGCTACAGTCCGTGGGGTCGCAAAGAGTTGGACACAACTGGGCGACTGAACAACAACAACAGAAATTTGAAAAAAAGAAAGAACAACAGCCAAGAAGAGAGGCAGTGGCAGCCACTCAGAGAGGGACTGGGGGAGGCGGGAGGGAGAGTGCTCTGGAGCTGATGCTGGGGAGCAGGGAGGACTCCCTCCCACCGCCAAGCCCCGAGGGCACACCTAGTACAGCAGAGGGTGCAGGGTTTCTTGGCAGTTTCCTGGGGCTGTCCTGCGCCCTGCAGGCTGGTCAGCAGCAGCCCAGGCCTCTCCCCTCTAGAAACATCACACTCACACACATACACCCCCACTGGTAACAACCAAAAATATCAGTGAACATTGCCAAATGCCCTGGTTGAAACCACTGCTATATATAAACCACATTTTGAATTCTTAGTATTTCTCAGATTCATTGTCCAGAGACTTCTTAAATCCTAACAGCCTAAATAAATTCAGGTGAAAACTTTGTCAAGACTCTTGGTTGTAATAGAGGTTACAAAAAGTGTTATCTAACACATAAAGCAGAATTTCCTTTATTATTTTTTGCTGTTGTTTAGTTGCTAAGTCATGGATTGTAGCCCACCAGGCTTCTCTGTCCATGGAATTTCCCAGGCAAGAATACTGGAGTGGTTTCCATTTCCTTCTCCAGGTTATTATTTTTAATTGGCATAATATAATGGTATTCTAATTATAAAAGCATTGTGAAATATTACATTTAGGAAATTTTTCTTCCTGCATTATATAAAACCTGCATTTCATAAAAGCTAAAATTAGAGATATGTAAGAAATGTAAAAGTTAAAACTACAAGTTTTTCATTTCTAAAGGACAACAGCAGAATACCTACTCCAGTATAGCAGAATAACTTCACCACCTTGAATTAGAAAAAGATTTCTTAGCTAGGACCCAGAATGCACTAATAAAAGGAAAAGAAAATCAAAATTAAATACTTCATCAAAAGATACTATTAAGAAAATGAATAGGCAAGAAAATATTTACAATTCATATATCTGGCAAATTCTTGTACAAATTAAAAAAACTTACAGTCGAGTAACATGATAAACAACGTGGACAAAGAAGTTTGATGAGGCTCGTCATAAATGGAGATTTACAAATGACCGATAAATGGCTGGGAGGGTGCTACAGGGGATGAGGCACCAGGGAGACGCAAAGTGCCGCGGAGTGGTCCTCTGCACATGCGCAGCAGAGTCTGTGTGTCCTGGACAGACCATGCCCATTGCCCGCGAGATGCGAACACTGCAGCTGCAGGTAGAAAATGGCACCAACGCTTTAGAAATAGGTCTAGTTGTTTCTCATAAAGCTACAAGTGCGTCTCCCCTGGGGCCCAGCCATCCCTCTCCTAGGGGTCCAAGAAAAAGAAAATACCTCCACACAGACTTGGACAGGAATGGTAGCTTTGGGACTTCCCTGCTAGTCCAGTGGTTGAGAATCCACCTGCCCATGCAACTGGACGCGGGTTCGAACCCCAGCAGGAGAACCGAGGTCCTGCATGTTGCAGGGCAGCTAAGCCCCGTGCACTGCTACTGGAGCCAGAGCTCGGCAACTGGAGAGCCTGTGCACCACAGCGAAAGGACCCACACACAGCAACGAAGACCTGCTGCAACCAAAATAAAATAGGAATAAACAGACATGTAAAAATCAGAATGGCAGCTTTAGCCATAGTGATTGCTAACTAGAAACGCCCCAAGTATGAACATTCAGCAACAGGACAGTGGGAGCCACGCGTGGTACATTCGTGGGACAGAATTCTACTCGACAGTCCAAGGGAATGTGATACACACAACAGCCTGTATGAACCTCAGACACATTATAAATGTTAGGCCGAAGAAGCCCAACCAGAATAGTACACGCCGTGTGGTTCCATGTATGTGGAATTTTAGAGCAGGAAAAACGGATCTCTGGTGAGAGGAGTCAGAGCAGCGCTCGCCTCTGAAGAGGGGTGCAGGATTGACTGGGGGGTGGGGTCCAAGGGATTTTCCTGGAGTGAATGAGATCTTGTACATCTTGATACAGATGTGGATTACATGGGTGTGACATTTACTAATTTGTCCGTCTGTGTGCTGGAGATCTGGTCACTTTACTGTGTTAAATTAAACTTAATTTTTTTAAGTAATTTTTACAAATTTACTGTCATTCCTCAGACCCTCTGGTTGGTCTCTTTTTACTTTGAGGATCAGTTTAGCCCAGCTTTATTTTTCTTTAAGAACAAAAACACTAGGGTGTCTAACCCAGTGTGAGGTTTGGCAGAGACAGTACTTAAAGTAAAAGTTCCTGGGAAAAAAATGATACCAAAGCTGAGACTGGGAAGGTGAGTTGATGAGCTGTGTGTGGAAGCATGAGAGGACCCGTGAAGAGAAAGCAGCGTGCCAGAAGGCCCAGGGAGAGGACAGTGTGGCTGGTCAGATGGGAGGAGGGAGGCCGAGGAGCCTTGGGGAGAACTGCCATGCCTTGGGGTGTCACCCTTCTGCCTCTCCCTCAGGGGCAGCGGGAAAGGAGAACTCGGGCGCAGTAACAAGTCATTTTCATGGGAAAACCCTTTGTAAACAGCGTAATACATGTAAAATCATGTCTATGGTAGTGGCTTAATCAAGTACAGCAAAGACTGATGGAATATCTGAACTGGTAAGATTCTTCGTAGAGTTTAAGTGTTGTTTGCAAGCATAGTATTTCTTTTGTTCTGATTTTTGGTGATGCAGCTTTGATCTATTTTGTCTTGGTTTCAGGGTTCAAAAAGGATTCTTCGCTCCAACGAGATCATCCTTCCAGCCAGTGGACTGGTGGAGACAGAGCTCCAGTTAACCTTCTCCCTCCAGGTGAGAACCTGCTCAGTCTTAGGTCATTTAATATGCCATGTCCCCCCTGATCTCGAACGATGCTCTGATCTGGAGATCGTTTGATCCGAGAACAGCCCAATGGCTTAATGTCAGAGCTTCTGTGGCCTTCATGGATGGCTAGAGCTATCTCTGAGGCTGCCGCACCACGCGTGCTGAGACCTGGATGAGCTGCTGCAAAGTACACCATGTCTCATTCTTCTTTTTTTAATTGTAGTTGATTTAAAATGTGTTCATTTGTGCTGTATAGCAAAGTGATTCCATTTTATACACACATACGTAGACTTTCTCCTTTTTCTGTTTCCTATATTACATACACATTCTTTCTCATGTTCTTTTCCGTTCTGGTTTGCCACAGGATAGTGACTATAATTCCCTGTGCTATACAGCAGGACGTTGTCGTTTTTCCATGCTACAGGCTGGTTTGCATCACATCCTCTTTCCTTGGACTGGGCTGTTGGCCCCACCGTCCTACCGCAGTCCTCCCCATCTCCTCTCCTTAGTGCCCCTGCTCCCCGAAGGAGAGGGTGCTCCTTCAGTCTCATTTTGCTCCCATATTGCAACCTCTGTCCCATCCCTTCTCCTCCTTTTCCGTCCTAGTATGTCCGTCTCTCCTCGTAACCCCAGAGGTCCAGGTTGAACTCTCGATCACCTGGCAAGGAAAGAGGCCATATTTCAGAACATGTGTGGACCTCCAACTGCAGGGTGGAAGCCTGGTGCTGGGAGGAACCAGATGCTCCCCTCATACGGAGGGGAGCCAGTGATCCCCGTCACCCCCTCATACGTAGGGGAGCCAGTGATCCCCGTCACCCCCTCATACGGAGGGGAGCCAGGGAAGCAAAGGATGGTGGTGCGTCCCCCAGCAGGACTAGACCCCACGGAGGACCCCTGTCTGACTCACTGTGCCCGGCTCTGCTTTGTGCCCGGCAGTACCCTCATTTCCTGAAGCGAGATGCCAACAAGCTGCAGATCATGCTGCAGAGGAGAAAGCGTTACAAGAACCGGACCATCCTGGGCTACAAGACCCTGGCCGTGGGGCTCATCAACATGGCGGAGGTGAGCGCGCGGCCCTTCAGAGCCCGGGAGAGACCCCAGCCCAGCCGGGGCTCTTCCCCGCCCGCCCCCTGGCTGTTTTATTCCAGGTTACAAATTAACTCTTTTATGGGAAATTCAGGACACGCCTCTTTTTATCCAATACTTCCTTGCTCACAAAAAGTTTTTTCTTTAGCTTTTTAAAAAATGTCAGAGAAAACTTATAATAGTATGAAGGATTCCTGTCTGCCCTTCACCCCGACGCTTCAGTGTTAGCATATCTGCCTTTTAGTTCCCGCCTATGTACACAGTGTGCATGTTGTTCGCTTTTCTGAGCCACCGAGAGTGAGCTGCAGACATGATGCTCCATTACACGTTAATATGTTGTTGCTGTTCCGTCACTCAGCCGTGTCCGACTCTTTGCGACCCCACGGGCTGTAGCCCAGCCAGGTTCCTCTGTCCATGAGATTCTCCAGACAAGAATACTGGAGTGGGTGGCCATGGCCTGCTCCAGAGGATCTTCCTGACCCAGAGATCGAACCCACATCTCCTGCCTTGGCAGGCGGATTCTTTACCACTGAGCCACCTGAGAAGCCCACATATTAGTATGCACTGTGTCAATTTCCTAGAACTAGGAATGCTCTCACGTGTGCGAACTGCCCACCGTGAAGATCAGGATGCTGACGCGGCCCAGTAACGCCCTTCACAGGCCCGGGGCATCAGCTGGGAGCGTGGGCTACGTTTACTTGTCCCTTTGATCTCCCTCGACCTGCAGTCCCTCGGATTTTCCCCATGTCTTTCATGCCCTTGACATTTTTTTTAAGAGGACAAGCTGGTTTTTTATTGAATGCTCCTCTGTTCGGGTTTGTCTGATGTTTTCTGAAGATCACATTCAGCTTCCGAGTTTTTGGCAGAGTTACCTCAACTGTAACGCAGGCAGCACTCCGAGTTGACTTGTTCCGTTACTGGTGAGGCTGTCTTACCGCTCGGCTAATTGAAGATGATGTATGCCAGGACTTCCAATATAAAGTTAATTAATACGTATTTTGTTCTTAGCGATGAAAAAAACATTTTATAGGCAGCTGTTTGAGGACCCTGTAACAAAACAGTCTCTTTTTTCCTCATATCTTCACCCAGTAGTTTTAGCTTCTGTTAATGATTCTTGCCTGAATCAGTTATTAATCGTTTGATGTGAGCTCACATTCCAGTCAGCTCCAGTCAGCTCCTCTGGGTTCCTGCAGCCTTTGTCCTCTCCACGTTCCTCAGTCTGTTTGCTTGTTTGTGAGGCTCTCCTATGTGCGCAGTAAATCTTCTCAGCCCGGATGAAGGGGAAGAAGAAAGGGACCACACATCAATTTTAAAACGTATTTTTGTATTTTAATACTTCAAATCGGAAAAAATTTTGTGGCCACCTTTTACAAAAGGTGAGGTAGCCCCAGCGCATCTTTCTGTCACCTTCGCGTTTCGAATCAGAACGAGGGCCTGGGGGAGCGAAGGCTGTGGACGCCGTGTCGAGCCCTCAGGTTCTTTCCCTCGTTGCCGGCACAGGTGGCCGCGGTCTGCAGGCGCCACCCCACCCCTGAGCCTGAGAGCTGCTTTCTCTGTGAAAGACTTAACTAAACTGCAGTCCTAGAGAGGAGCAGTCATTTTCTATCCCAGGCCTTGACTTTTATCTCTGAGCACGTGACCAGAACCGTGACTGGGACTTCTGGAGACAGTTTTTAAATGAGACTACGGAGACTTCCCTGGCGGTCCAGTGGTTAAGAGTCTGCCTTTCAGTGCAGGAGACACGGGTTTGATCCCTGATCAGGAAACTAAGATCCCACACGTGTCAGCGAAGCCCTTGTACCTCAACTCCTGAGCCCAGGCTCCCTGATGAAAGATCCCACGTGCTGCATCTAAGACCCAACACAGCCAAACAGATAAAGAAGTATTTTAAAAATAAATAAATTCCACTGCAGGGGCCACAGGTTCAAAGCCTGGTCAGGGAACTAAGATCCCACATACCACGTGGTGCAGCCAAAAAACAAAACAACAGAAAGACAACCAGAAAGGAGAAGTCTGTGCTTCCTGAACCAGCTCAGGTTAGGTATTGCATTGAAGGAGGCCTTGTGGCACAAAATGTCCACTTTCATTAAGTCAGGCTGGATTTCATTGAGTCTGGTGAATCTACCCTAATTTCAGTGAATTTAATATGTGGACAAACACCCTTGATGTTCAGAGGATACTGTCTTTGGCACTGATGGCAAGACTTGAATCTCAACTTCAGAAATATGAAGTGTGTCACATGGGAGAAATGGAATAGGGTATTAAAGAAACAGTCAGAGGACTTCCTTGGTGGTCCAGTTGTTAAGACTCCATACTTCCAATGCGTACTAAGATCCCACATGCTGCGTGGTACGGCAAAAAAAAAAAAAAAGGAAGGAAAGGAGGGAAGAAAGAAATAGTCACAGTAGCTCTTGGGCTGAGCAATGACTCTGGCCATGGAGGTTCACTCTTCCCAAGGACTTCCCTCCTTTCAGAATACTTCTGTGAAAAGCTAGTTCAGACAACTGCAATCATTCAAACACAGATCATGGGAAACGTTTCTCCAGCATCCATACACAGATAATGCAAGGAGAAGAAAAAGGAGTAAGAGAGGAGTCAGATTTCACTGAGTACAAAAGCCATGGTAGGATTCCCCTGGTCACCCAGTGGACAGGGATCTGCCTGCCACTGCAGGGGACGTGGGCTCAATCCCTGGCCGAGGACAAGTCCACACGCTGCCTAGCAGCTAAGCCTTCACAACCACTGAAGCCTGCACGCCCTAAAGCCCGTGCTCCACAACAAGAGGAGCCATCAGAATCAGAAGCCCTCTCACCACAACAAAGAGTAGCCCCCATTCACCATGACTAGAGAAGGCCCACGAGCAGCCACGAAGACCCAGCATAACCCAAAAGAAAAATTTTAAAAAGTCACAGCAAAGCGGAGGAAGATTGCCCCCCCCCAACTTCTAATATAAAATATAAGATGTAACAAGCTCAACACAGCTTGAAAGGAAGGACCCAGAGCAAACATAGACACCCTGGGGGGAGAGCCAGACATCCACCAGGAAGTCGTGAAGCAGGGACGCAGTCAGACATGGGGAGGAGACAGCAGAGAATCACAAAAGCATTTCAGAAAAGAGGGTGAGTGTAAGAGATGACAGTCGAAAGCGTGACAAGGCTCAAGATAACGTTTCTAAGAGAAAACTGATAAACAGTGGGCTGTATATGAAATAACACACAAATGCATTTTTAAGAATGGAGGCCCAGGGGACTTCCCTGATGATCCAGGGGTTAAGACTTCACCTCCAATGCAGGGGGTGCAGGTTTGATCCCTGGTCGGGGATACCGCCCTCAGCCAAAAAGAAGGAAAACATAAAACAGAAGCAGTATTGTAACAAATTCAATAAAGACTTTAAAAATGGTCCACATCAAAAAAAATAAAAAATAAAAATAAAAATAAATAAAGTGAAACAAGGGAATCCCTGGCAGTCAGTGGTTAGGACTCTGCGCTTTCACTGCTGAGAGCCAGTTCAGTTGCCGAGGGGTTCAGTCCCTGGCTGGGGAACTAAGATCCCACAAGCTGAATTGCACAGCCAAAAAAAAGGTGAAGTGAGACTGAAGGCAGTAGAAGAAGAGTAGGCGGGGGAGCGTGAGGAAGAAAATGTGTTGGCAGAACGCCGTTCCCGGTGGCTCGCGTGTCCACTGGGGTCTGTGAAAACGGGCCGCCCTGCGGGGCTCTGTGTGAGGCGTGTCGTGGCCACCCGTGCTCGTAGGTGATGCAACACCCGAACGAAGGCGCCCTGGTGCTCGGCCTGCACAGCAACGTGAAGGACGTCTCCGTGCCTGTGGCAGAAATAAAGATCTACTCCCTGTCCAGCCAGCCCATTGACCACGAGGGGATCAAATCCAAGCTGTCTGGTAAGATGAGTTGTGTCGGAGGCCCTGCCCACCCCCACCCCCAGTCTCCATCCTGGGAAAGAGGAGCTTAGGGGTCCCTGAAAATAAAGGGGGGCGGGGGCCCTCTCCTCTTCCCCAGCCTAGTCTCCACCTGAGGATAGCGGGACTCCAGCCGGCCAGAGCCCCCCCGCCAGGCCACATCTCCCCCTTGCGAGGTTCTCTTAATAAGGTGTCTGTTTCCAGACCGTTCTCCTGATGTTGACAATTACTCTGAGGAAGAGGAGGAGAGTTTCTCATCGGAACAGGAAGGCAGTGATGACCCGCTGCACGGCCAGGTAACTTCCCACAGCCCCTCACACACAGAGGCTGGGAAGCCCCTCCAGACCCTCCAGAACCTCGTGGGGTTGGGGCTCCCCAACCTCACTCCATCCCCTGCCCGCTTAGGACCTGTTCTATGAGGACGAGGATCTGCGGAAAGTAAAGAAGACCCGGAGGAAACTCACCTCCACGTCCGCCATCACAAGGGTGAGCCGCCAAGGTCCGGGGAAGGTTTCCGCCGAGATTTCCAGTCGGGGGTGGGTAGGATGGGAGTGGTGTTTTCAGACTTCCTGGGAGCCTTTTTTATCAGTAACATCCACACAGGGCCGTCCCCTCGAGGCTCTGATACACCCCTTGGTACCACGTTCACCCCATCTCCTCCACCACCAGCTTATTAAGAATCACTGTGGAGAGAACCGGCATTCCTGATGGCAGCATGTCACATTCTTTGGGCTCTCTTAGGATAGAAGAAAGTTGAGAAACCTTGTTGTAGGCTTTGGAACAGATGCTTCCTCAGGGAGCAGATACCCCCTTCCTCAGATACCCTGCCTCCCCTTTCCAGGTGATTACTCTGGATTTCGTACTGTCCACTGTATAGAGAAGTCCAGTCCTCTCTAGGAGAGTCTCCACTTCAAATCATTTATTGAACTTACCCAAAAATAATAGGCTAGTGCCTGGAACAGTGGGCTTGATATAATGCCTGCCTTAATGGATCCATGACATTAGAGACCAAATGCCCATGGAATCTGTCTCCTGCATAAGATTTCCTAAGGAGCCACTGCTTTTGGTGAAATTAGAGTCCTGGACTGAGATGCCAACATGCTCAGTCACTCAGTCGTGTCCGACTCTGTGACCCCACGAACTGTATGTAGCCCACCAGGCTCCTCTGTCCATGGGATTCTCCAGGCAGCAATACTGGAGTGGGTTGCCATGCCCTTCTCCAGGGGATCTTCCCGACCCAGGGATTGAACCTGCATCTCTTGCACCTCCTGATGCCTAATACCTGAATTTCTAGGTTAACTCTGACCTATTCTGGGGTTCCAGTGCCAAAGTGTAGAAGAGTCACAAGTGTCAGGAGCTTTTTAGAAGAGAAATTCCCAGTTTCATGAGTCCCCAGAGGCATCCTGATCCTCTCTGGGCAGATCCAGCCTGGGGACCCTGAGAGCGGAGATCCCATCACCTTCTGGAGTGAAATAAGCAGAAGCCAGACCTTCCCAGCGTGTGTGTCTGAGCCTGGTTGAGCCTAGTCCACCGTGAAGCATGCTGTCCTTTCTCCAGGCGTCCTGGGGTGTCCCTGGGATTGCATGTAAATCCCTAAGACCAAGGCCTTGATTCCCCCACTAAGCGATGTCTAGAGCGTGTTTGAATCATTTCATTGTCCTCAGGCTTCTCACCCTTGATTAGGCTCCTAGGCCAAGTGAGGCCCATCCATCCCAGCCTCTAGCCTCGTTTGTGCTCTGATGATGGGTGGGTGAGGCAGGGTGGCTCTCTTTTGTGACTCCTGCTATTTTTTTTTCCTGCACTATAGCCACAGAGGTCCCATTTTCTTCCCTTGGGTGCCCCCTGGGGCTTTATACCCGCCTCTCCCTATCCAGCTTCACTCGTTACAGGACCAGTGCTCCGCACTCCTTTGATAGCCACCCCTGTGGGTGTTTTTGCTGCTGTTGTTAAGTGCAGGGCTTTCCAGTCAGAGTTTCAGAGTAACTGTTCTTTCATTCCTGTCTGCTGTACACACTCGTCCTCTCTCCACCGAGAGCACTTGTTTTAGGGGCGCTGACTGAATGGTCACTGGGGCTCCCAGTCTTCCTCTGCTCGGTGCGTCCTGCCGCCGAGGGGAGCCCCGCCGTTTCCGGAAGGCCCAGCTCAGCCTCCCTCACAAGTTAGTCTCCTCCATCCCCAGCTGGTGAGTCTGCCGTCCAGTCAGGAGGCGCTGGTGGCCACAGACTCGTCACCGCAGCTGGGGTTGGACACGGAGAGACGAGGAAGGCCTGGTCTGTGGCGTCGGGGAGCTCACAGTGTCCACTGACACAGACATTTTACACGAGCGGCCGTGACGGTGCAGGGCAGGCAGCAGATGCGTACTCTCAGGGCCGCGACGGCAGCAAGGGGGGAAGTGAACGACTCTGAGCTGGACAACTTCACGGGCGAGATGCCGAGAGATGCCGGGTTTTCTGAGAGTCGGCAGACCTTCACCACATGGATTTGGGGCCGAGGTTTAGTCAAGGCAGAAGCTACCGTATAAAAGGCCCAGCAGGGGTCACCACACAGAGCTCTGCAGAGTCTTAAGCAGTGAGTTCCCACCCAAGCGGGGCGTGAGCGGTTAACGGCGGGCGAGGCCAGGGACGGGCAGCGCCGGCCCTCCGTGGACACACAGTAATGCCGAGAGGCTCCGGGCCCTCGAAGGCCATCGCCTGCGGAGTGGCTGGTGGCATCTGCCTGTGGAGCAGTCACCGTGGACTCTGGAGGAGCGGAGACTGGAGGCGGGGTGGAGGGGGCTGGCGGACAGCAGTCGGTGGCCCCAGGGGGCTGGACGGAGGCAGTGTTGTTCCAGGTGGACAAGCGGGCAAGACTCAGCGGCCCTGGGCCGGGAGGTGAGGCGGGGGAGAGACTCCAGGTTCAGACTTGGTGACTAAGGGACCAAGAGAGGGGATGCACGGAAGAACGTCCAGTTTGAGGAGCCTGTGTGTGTACTGGTGGTGCTCACCCGTCAGCACCGTGTTTCTGAAAGACTAGAGAAAGGGATGAGCAGGAGGTGGCGGTGGGGAGTTACTGGGGTGGGGTCCCGGGGTAGAGACTGTCCCCTCCACTGTCCTCCCCCAGCTCTTCACAAAAGCGGGCTCTCGGTCAGCCTTCCGACGAGCGATCGCCTTCCACACGGGGCTGCTGGCTGAGAACCTCTGTGTCTTTGTCCCTACAGCAACCTAACATCAAGCAGAAGTTTGTGGCCCTGCTGAAGCGGTTTAAAGTTTCAGACGAGGTACGAGCCTTACTCCCGAGCTGGACAGTGAGTGGAAATCTGGAGTGTCGCCCTGGTTTCCCCGGGGCGCAGTCGGTGCTGCTGCTGGGAGTCGAGATCCCAGGCCCCACGAGAGGCAGTAGCTAGAGGAGACATTGACGGGCAGCGCCCGAGGTTGGGCCGTCCGGAGCATGGGGCGCCTGGCCCTCCCTGCCGTCGGTTAGCTCCAGGCCTCTGGTGTGGCGCGTCTGGCTGTTGTTCAGTGTTCCCTCCTGCCCCGAGGGAACATCATGAGGGGCAACCCGAGGTGGGCGCCTCCTCCGTGGCGTCAGGAACTGGCCACTAGAGAAGCAGTATCCCCCCCACCCCACCCCCGGGCTCTCGCAAACCGGAGCTGGCCCTCACAGGCTCTCTCCCTAGTGGACCAAGACTGGAGGCTTGTCCCCTGGGGACTCAAGGGGAGGGCAGCATGAGCCTGCCAGGGTCCCAGGCTTCTGAGTTTTCTCCAGCCTATTCCTCGGGAAAAGTATGGTCTTGCTCCTGCTCCTCTTCCTGACACTGGGTCCTGGTGGGGAGCGCCAGTGAGGCACTGAGGGGGGACCCTGGCCTCACCATGTCCTGCTCTCAGGATCAGATCACAGAAGGGAGGAGGGTGAAGCTATGGCAGGTCCCCCAAGGGGACTGGGCAGGGTGGCCAGTGGGAAGAAGTTGCCCGTCTCCATGCTGTGAACAGGGTAGCCCCCAACTCAAAGGTTTTGTCTTCCCCTGCAGGTGGGCTTTGGGCTGGAACATGTGTCCCGGGAGCAGATTCGCGAAGTGGAAGAAGACTTGGACGAGCTATACGACAGCCTGGAGATGTATAACCCCAGCGACAGTGGCCCCGAGATGGAGGAGACAGAGAGCATCCTCAGCACGCCAAAGCCCAAGCTCAAGTGAGGCCCACAGCCCCTGTCTCCTGAGGCCACACCGTCTCCTAGACCCTTTTCCCCACCCCCCATGACCGGGAATCTTGGCTCCTCACCCCTGATGAACCTCCAGCCCTCTGGATAAAGGTCGTCGTTTAACTGACAGAAGCCCCGATAGAACTCTCTCAAGTCCTTCAGTCCAGGCCCCCCCTTGTCAGCCTCTGCAGTGTCTCTTCCTCCCGACATCCTTGAAGCCCGGGTTTTCAATCTTTCTAGAACACCAGCTCTCCCCGGCTGACCACAAGCTGCTATTCTATCCCTGACTGACCCTGTCTGTGCTTCTTTGCTGCCCACAGGCCCTTCTTTGAGGGGATGTCGCAATCCAGCTCCCAGACGGAGATCGGCAGCCTCAACAGCAAGGGCAGCCTCGGCAAAGACACCACCAGCCCTGTGAGCACGGCCGAGGGTGGTGGGGCGCGGGGCCGGGGAGTGAGCTTAACACGGGGTCTTCTGCACGACGAAGGGTGGGGGGCGTGCAGAGCGGGGCTGGGGGAGTTGGGGTAACACTGGGTCCTCTGCTCCCGGCTCATTTGGGACCCGTGAGTGGTCTCATCGTCTTTCAGCCTTGGCTGTCATCTCAGTCCTGCCCGGCGCTTAGTGCTCTGAGGGCACCGCTGTGGCCGGGCGGGTATCCTTTTTGGTCTCTTCCTGCTGTGACCTGGAGCCTTCCCTCCAGAGCGCGCGGTGCCTCGACACCTCCCCTCAGCACCCATCACGCGGTAGCTGGGAGTGTGGCATCCAGCCCGGGGTAGCGACTCTGCTTCCAGGCGGGGAAGGGACGGGGCAGGAAGCCCCCAGTGTTTGTTCAGGAGAGATTGCATGGGCTTTGCTGAGGAAGGGGGCAGCGCCCTCACAGAATGGAGAATTCAGTGGGCAGGTTTCCATTTGGCCTGGTGAGCCAGAGGGAGCCGGAGCCCCCCAGAGCCCAGCCTCACCCCAGACCACGCCCTGTCCCTCCCTGGGAAGGCCTCCCCAGCCGTGGAGTAGAGCAGGAGCCTGCCTTGATGCTGCACCCGCCTCAGGCCCTTGGAAGCTCTCCTTGCCCTCGTTTACAGCCCACGGCAGGGAGACGGGCGATTTTAGTGGGGTCTTTGGTTCACAGCTGAAAGCCCAGTGTCTTCTCTGTAGATCAAAGAAACGGAATCCTTTAAGTCCTCCTGCTCTTGCTGCTTTAACAAAGAAAATACAAAACTCACTCAGCAAATAGGTATGAGCCTGTGAGGAAACGTCCTGAAGCGGGTGAGGCCCTCCATTCGCCCCCACCCCCGTCCATTCCCGGGCGTCTGCGAACCGTCGGCTCAGAGACGGCCTGACTGCATGCTGCCACCAGGTGGCGCTGTCGTCCGCCTTATCCGTCCTCCTGCTGAAGGCACAGCGGGCCCTAGAACAGCGGCACCACGTGGCCTTAGCGACCGAACGTGGGATGGACCCTGGCAGGCTCCGCCGAGAATCCCTCCGTGGAGAAACCTCAGGCCTGACACTTGCAGAGTCGGCGCTCTCAGCCTTTCCAGCCCAGGTTCCTGTGATCTGGGGCGGAGGAGGCCTTACACAGCTACTGCTTCTATTCAGGATGTCCTTGTAGCTGCTCTTTCTGGAGGGGCTACTGAGTGGCCCTGCTGAGTCCTCAGTGTCCACGTGGACGGATCACTCACTGCGGGCCCAGAGTCCACTGCAAGTGTAAATAAAAGGGGTGGACTCTCCCAGAGAGAAACCTGGGGCCTGGCCAGGGGCAGACTGACTCCAGGCATCCTAGGAATGCAGAACAAGGGCCCTCCTGTGACACAATGCAAACAAATTATGAACTGAGTTAGCACCCCAGAGTGCTAAGCCTAGTGCCTAACATATGCAAACACCCAAGAAATGTTAGGGATCATTGTCAGTCAACCAGTAAGAGAAACTATCTTAATGAAGCTGTCTCTGAGTTGATGCAATTTGTAGACTCTGCTTTTAGTCTCAATTGCATTACTTACAAAATTTAAAGAGAAAAATCAATTGATGTTCTGGGCCTCAGGTGCCACATTTGTAAAGTGAAGCTGCTAGGAAAAATTGAAGGCAGGAGGAGAAGGGGACAAAAGGATGAGATGGTTGGATGGCATGACCGACTCAGTGGGCGTGGGTTTGAGCAAACTCCGGGCAATAGTGAGGGACAGGGAGGCTTGGCAAGCTGCAGTCCATGGGGTCGCAAAGAGCCAGACACGACTGAGCGATTGAACAAAAGGTGTCAGCACAGGAGCCCAATTAGAATCAGAAGTCAGTGGAGTCTCAGTCTTGGCAGGACCCCTGTTCAGGGAGAACGTTGCTGTGGGGCAGAGTTTGGCTGAGAGCACAAACTCTGAAGTCAGTCTTCTGAGTCTTAATTTTGACTCCATCACTCCACTGACTGTTCTGGGCAGTTATCAAGGCTTCGTGTCCTCATCCACAAGTTGCATGTAAAAAGGACTTGCCTTGCAAGGCAGAGTGAAGATCTAGTGGGAGAAGGAAGCTAAAACCTCCAGCATGGCGCTTGGTTGGTGGTTGGATTGGTTTACAGCAGGGGGAGCAGCAGTACTGTACGCGGCTTTGCCACTGTTACTCTGGGCCCTGAGAGCCATTCCAGTTCCGGACTCCTGAAATTGATAGACTCCAGTTGTCTTTTTAGTGAGTCCTTCAAATTCTGATTCTTTTGGCCAAATTTCAGACTTTGCTGGTTCTCTGTGATATTTCTATTTTGAAGAGCCCCATATGTCTTGATGTGGGTGTGGAACTTTGGAGTCCTTTCGTATGAAAGGCACTTTGGGAACTGCAGAGCGAGGCTGTGCTCTTCACACAGCAAACTTCGAGACGTACGAGGGGAAACATAAGGGGCTGGTGCACCGTAGGCAGGCGAGCACATGCCGCCCAGCTTTCGTCCTCTCTCCCTGATTTCGTAGCCTTGTTATTTGTTTCTTTTTTCTTAACCTTCCCTCTTGTTCCCCAAATTTCAGAGAATTCAGTTGATCACTAGAACCAGAAGGGATTTCTGCCAATACAAATTATTACAGTTATGAGTTTTCCCAAGACTTGAGCACATGATTTGGTTCTTGAAGCTGATAACAATAGGCCCTGACAGCGCTTCAGCTGGGGCAGCCAAGAGATGGAGACGTTCCACCAGGACTGCCTGCTGCTAAAAGTTGCAAATTCCATGGCACTGTGATGAATGGTGCTGGAGACCAGTAGTTGGTCAAAGCAGGAGCCTAAAGTACCACCTCACTCTGGGCCCCCCCACACACAGGAGTGCGGGCACCTGTACCACAGCCAGCAGGCACCACACCTCAGGCTGCTGCAACTGTCTCGGTGCCACACAGTCAGACAACACAGCGGCTGCGCTGCTGGGGTGAGGAAAGCCTAAAGTATTTATAGGAGCAGGAGGAGGAACTTGGAAAGCCAGGCGCTTACTCCTGGCAGGATCGACCAGAACATCCCGAAGAGTCGGTGCACAGCCAGCAGGTGCCCCCACTCTAGTCTGGGTTAGAGCACTCTGACACTGCTCCGTTGTCAGAGGGTTTGACCACACAGGGCTGCTGCCCGAGAACCTTCGAGCAGGGTGGTGTTACCACCCTCATGCATCCTCTCCAAAACATGTTTAAGTCATTTGTCGTGCTGAGATCCCACACTGAGTGAAGTCATCTCCAGTCTCAAGTCCAACCGAGACTTTTCTCTGACTGTAGACTGTTAACATCGGTTATCTCAATAGGCAATGTGTAAATGAACTAGCTGTGCAGACAGGAGGCAACCTACCGTGCATGGCTCTGAACCAAACTGTCTCACACTCCAGGGCCGCGGGGTCTGGTTAAAATGCCTTGGGTTAGTTTGACAGACAGCTCAGAAGAGTGGTCCTCAACCAAGGGTGGTTTTGCCTCCCAGGGAACATTGGGCAAGGACTGGAGACATTTTTTTTTTTTTTTTTAATTCTCACAGCAGGGGTGATTAGTGGGTGGAGGCGGGGCTGCAGCTCAGATCCTGCGCAGGACGCCCCAGAGTAGAGAAGGGCCCTCCGCAGATGCCAGTGGTCCCAGGTGGAGAAAGCCTGGCTTAGTGTGTGACACGGGCTGACTTGTGTGATCGTTGTTCATTAGTTTGCCAAGTGACCCCATGAACTTTATAGGCTTTTTCTCTGTACTCTGTCGTTTACTCAGAGAAAGGACTTTAGGTCATTGGAGGAAGTGGGCTATCTTTGATCCTTTCTGATTCCCTGGTTCCCCAGAAGAACCAGAGACCCATTTTCATGTAGGATACACAATTCATAGGTCTATTAACTCCTTAGAAAAATGTCCCCATTACTCAGAGAAAGGTCACTGGGAGGAAGTGTGGGACATCTTCGATCCTTTCTGATTCCCTGGTTCCCCAGAAGAATCAGAGACCCACTGAAGTCAGTGCCTTCCCCACAGCTGAGACTCCCACCCCACAGCTGCTCAGGATTCCGACACTGGTGTCTGCACAGCCAGAAGCAGCATTCGCAAGTGTGAAAAATCCAGTTCTGTATCTGTATTTGCAAAGTACATTGTTAATATTTATGAGATCTGTTAATAAGAGTTAAGGACAAAGGGAGAATTATTTCACACCTAAATGGCTTAGAATATCCTGTTTGAGGGTTTTCTAGATGTTTCCACCAAACCAAATGCATTTGGCCCCCATGGATGTCTTTAGTCTCAAAATCAAAGACCTGAACACTGAGAGTCCCCTTTCTTCTCAGCATCGCTGACAGCAGAAGTGGCCCTGTGTGCCCTTCCTGGGCAGGGGTGTTCACCACATCTCAGAGTCAAGACTAGCAGATCCTACAGCCAAGCCGTCTGAAGGCTGAGCCTCTCTTCCCTGAGAGCATCTTTTGAGAATCAGAATTTCTGGGTTCAGCGTCTCACCATGTTATTGATTTAATGATCACAGAATAACTGACCTTCTGAAGTTTGGTTTTTCACAAAAAAATATGCTCCTTGTTAAGATGAAAGTCCCAAAGACGTTATGAAAGATGTCATGAGGTCTTCAGATTAAGTGAAAGTATTTTAAGCTTCCAGAGGACTTAGGGATCAAGTTAGAGTGGTGGTTATTTGGATTGGTGATGACTAATTATTATAATTTTTGCAGATGGAATTGTCTGCGCTAGAAAAAGTCAAATCTGCTCGGATTAAAAATCAAGATGACAGCTTGACTGAAACAGACACTCTGGTATGTGTGGTTCCGTCTCCTGTTTTCAGCTGTCTAAAATACTTTTGGGTACCTTTAGAAATAGAGGCAAAAAGACCCTCAGGACCATCCTGAAACTTTTGCCTAAATCTGTGGACTTACGAAGGTCCTGCATTCTCTTCCTCCCGAAATCTTTACTTGTCGAGTATCAGGTTGGTGCCCAAACTCGCAAACCAGGAATGTCGCCATTCCACTCCTTCATTAGGTCTGAGCAAATGCTGACTTGATACTTTCTCACTACCTGTCACTGTCATGTACCTTTTTTTTTTTTTAATTTTTATGTATTTATTTGTTCACTTTTGGCTGGGCTGGGTCTTCACTGCTGCATGGGCTTTTCTCTAGTTGCAGAAAGCCAGGGCTGCTCTCTAGTTGTGGTGCACAGGCTTAGTCACTCCTCGCCATGTACAGCGTTCTCGAATCAGGGACCAAACCTGTGTCGTCTGCACTGACAGGCTATTCTCTACTACTGAGCCACCAGGAAAGCCCCTCCACCCCCTCATTTACTCCTGGGGGACAATGAGCCGTATCTTTCCCTGAAAAACCGTCCCTTTCTCCAGTGTTATTTTTACAATGACCAAGACAGTCCACAGCATCAGCTCTCCAAGTGGTTACTTACTGGTCGTCTCCTCCCACTGAGAGATGTTGGGGCTGCTCCGGGGTGCATGGGATGGATCGCCTGGGGCGCCCAATGTAGTTACACACACATTGAAGTCACACACAGTGCTGAGCACTGACCGCGCCACAACGAGAACACCATGGCGCCCCGTCCGGGAGGAAAGCCGGCCAGAGCTCACAGCGCAGAGGCTCTGGGGGCCCGGGAGGGAAGGGCGGGCGGGTCACCTGGGCGAGGGAGTCTGGGGCTCTGTCTGCGCTCAGCCCATGTGGGACTGGAGGCCAGACCCAGCTGGGAGGAGAGAGCAGAGAACTTGACCGGAAAGCCTCTGGGGGTGTACTGTACTTCAGCCTCCCGGCGGGAGCTGCCAGCTGAAAGGAGGAATTCTTTCAGGCTCATGTCTCCTGTAGTAAAGAATACTGGGTCACAGGTCTGTTGCCCAACAGAGCCTTAGGCTGGGTTCAAGAACACTGTGGTTCACCTGAAACCCAAGCAGCCCAGCCTCCACTGTTTCCCGCTTTGGTCCGTATTACACAGCAGGCATTTCAAAAATGGAATTCCCATCACGTCACTTCCTGAGTGAAAGGCTCTCTTTCCCGCCTAGAGGAGCCAGATCGTCAGTCGAGATTTGCGTGCTGATGGTTCATAAGCATAGGGGTCAGGTCGGATAGCAGGCAACAGTGCCCAGCACGGCGGGCGCCCTCAGCTGAATTAAACAGTCAGGGGAGGGGGGCGGGAGTTTTACAACCGTGTGTTTCCTGGAAAAGAGCTTGGGGGGCTGCTGGCCCAGACAGGAGCCACCAGGCTCTCGTGGTCATGGAGTGGGGGGTCACCCTGACAGCTTCCTTTGGTCTGTGGCAGGAAATCACTGACCAGGACATGTTTGGAGACGTGAGCACGAGTCTGGTTGTGCCTGAGAAAGTCAAAACTCCCATGAAATCCAGCAAAACGGACCTGCAGGGCTCTGCCTCCCCCAGGTACTCAGGGTGGGAAGAAGCTCCTGAGGCATCGGGTGGCAGGAGGGGAGCACGGCCAGAGTGGCCTCGGAAAGGGGGGCCACTTAACCGCCTCCATCCACGCCCGTGGCAGCAAAGTGGAAGGGGTGCACACCCCCCGGCAGAAGAGGAGCACCCCCCTGAAGGAGCGGCAGCTCTCCAAGCCGCTGAGCGAGAGGACCAACAGCTCCGACAGCGAGCGGTCCCCTGACCTGGGCCACAGCACGCAGGTACCCGCCCGCCGGGCGCCCCAGATCCCCGGCTCTGCTCCGGCATCTCCTTGGGAGGTCGGGGGAGAGGAAGGGGTGTACTTGATTGTTCTGAGTAAAAAGAGGCCTAAAGGGAGAAGCCCAGCATGTTTGCTCTCTGCTCCTGCTGAGGAATTGCAGGATGGAATAGGGGACACTGGCCTGTTCTGCCCCCATCAGACCTTAGCGGGGACAGTGTTCAGGGGACAGCGGCCATCAGCTCTCCCAGGAGGTCTGCCCTGCACTCTGATGCCCTCAGCATCGCTGCGGGCTAGTTACAGTGATTTGAAGCCGACATGGCAACATTAGACTTTTGATCCCCAGCCCTCAGAGTGGCTGGGGTAGGCACACAGAAGGAACTGGCCCTCGGCTCGTATGCTCTCCGAAGGCCAGTCTCCCGGGGAAGGGTTCTCCCTGACGGCCTCGCCCAGCTCCTGCGCTCCTGGAGTTAGTGGTGGGCCCGCTTCTTCTCCTGATAAATACCTCTGGGAAGGGGGTTTGTGTCCGTGTGGCTTCCAGAGCTAACGCTCACTCTCGCAGCTGAAAATGAGCCCAGGACTAGAATAGCCTGGTGCCTGGGGCGAGGTATTGTCCTTCTTGTTAATCACTGTTCCTGAAATACCTTTGTTCCCCAAGTCGGAGGGCTCCCCACATGGCGCACTCTCATTATCTCTCCCCACTGCCCTCCTTTCCATCCTGTGAGCACCTGCTCTCCATTCCTCCCTCCCCCACTCCTGCTGCCCCTGCTTCATTCCCCTACGGGGCCCTTCCTGCATCAGCAGGACAGCCGCCATGTTCCTGGGGCACCAGCCTGGGCCCTGAGGCCTGGCTTCGCATGTTCTCATCCCCCTGCTGCCTGCTGTGCTCTGGCCGGTGGGACACCAGGTCTCCTGCACAGGTTCCTGGTAGCTCTTCTCCATACCCTGGACCACAAGTCCCCCCAGCCACTGCCCCCCCCCCAGGCTCCCTGGGGACCGACAGACATCTGTCTGCATCTATCCCTGCAGATTCCTAGAAAGGTGGTCTATGACCAGCTGAACCAGATCCTGGTGTCAGATGCGGCCCTCCCAGAAAACGTCATCCTCGTCAACACCGCTGACTGGCAGGGCCAGGTACAGCACCGAGGGTCACAGGGCCGGGAAGGAGTGATGCTGGGGAACAAGAGACTCCCCGGGTGTGGATCTCAAAGGCAGGGCGCGGGGAAATCCGAAATGACCCCCTTCTTTTCCGGCCCCTCCTAGCCTGACCTAAGCCCACAGCTCTGGCTCTGGTCCCAGTCCCATCATTTTCCAGCCTGAAGGGCCGTAAGCCACCAGTTTTCTGTACCTCAGCTTCCTTATCTCTAAAACAGCAGCAGTATGGGCCGTCTCACTGCCTTCCCAGCCTGTGTGCTGTGAGGCGCCAGCAGTGCCCTGGTTTCCAGAAGGGGCAGAGCAACAGCAGCCCCGCCCCGCCCAGTCCAGCCACCTACCCAGTGTGGGGGCCGCGGAGGCCGTGTAGAATCTAGCATGTCCTGGGCCTTCCCACGTTTCCTCCTGATCCCGTCTCCCTGGGGTCTGGCCCCACCTCCTCCTGACTGGCAGTCAGAGCCTGGCCTTGGCCGGCTGTGGTCTGAAGGACGGAGGGTGGGGCCCTCTGCCCGGCCTGGGCCTTGGCGCCCTGGTGACCTGGGGGGGTCGGTGGCCAGGCTGCACAGCCTCACCTGTGTGCTCCCCACCCCCCCGCCACCCCCCGCAGTATGTGGCGGAGCTGCTGCAGGACCAGCGGAAGCCCGTCGTGTGCACGTGCTCCACGGTGGAGGTCCAGGCAGTGCTGTCTGCCCTGCTCACCCGCATCCAGCGCTAGTAAGGCCCAGCTCCTCCCCTGCTCTTTGGGGTCCCCTCCCACCTCATCCTCCCACCCTCATTTCCAAGCTCTGAGAGGACCCCCTGGCCCATCAGAGCCAGAGCTCACAGTTGGCACCTGGTCGGGCGGCGTCTGGCCCTGGTGCTCTGTTGTCCCTGCTGGCCCCAGAGGGTCGGGGTGAAAATGTCACCTTCCTGCCCACCAGCCTCCTGCCTGGTCCTCTGCCACACCTTGACCTGCCTCACCCTCTTCCTAAAGCCATGACGAAGGAGGCCGGGCAGAGAGAGCCCGGGCTTCTACAAGACTTTCTCCTCCTGCCCCACTGCCTACCCGGAGTCGGGGCCCTCCCTCTCAGGACCTGCCATGGAAAGAGCCTGGGACGTCATGCCCGCCTCTCACCCCAGGGCACTGCCGACTCGTCTTCTCGTTAGCCTCAACCGGTTCTGCCTGCCTTCTCGACAGTCCCCTGTCCTCTCTGACCCTGAATTTCTCTCTTTTTGCAGAAGCACTATGGTGTGTTGCCTCTCTCTGTGTGATTTTGTTCACTGGTTTGTTTTTCCTCTGGGGGCTGTCGAGGTCGAGTGAAGTCAGAGCTGGGGGGGAGGCTTCCTCTGAGCAGATCGTGGCCCCCTGACGTGGCCCTGTCCCCACCCCCCTCGCTCCCAGCTGCAACTGTAATTCCTCCATGCCGAGGCCGGTGAAGGTGGCGGCGGTGGGCGGCCAGAGCTACCTGAGCTCCATCCTCCGCTTCTTCGTCAAGTCGCTGGCCAGCAAGACCTCGGACTGGCTGGGCTACATGCGCTTTCTCATCATTCCCCTCGGTGAGGATGTGGCAGAGCCCACCCCTGAAGCGGGGGGTGGCATTGGGTCCCAGGAAGGGCCAGTCGGGGAGACCAGAGGCCGGGCTTCATTCACCCCCCTCACCAGCTCGCCTTCTCTGGTCTCCGTCTACCAGGTTCTCACCCAGTGGCCAAATACCTGGGCTCTGTCGACAGCAGGTATAGCAGCACCTTCCTTGATCCTGGCTGGAGAGATCTGTTCAGCCGCTCGGAGCCCCCGGTGTCAGGTACCGCCCCTCGTGGGGGACGAGACGCAGGGAGCTGGGCTCAGCCGCACGCGGGGGCGGGGGGCATGCCGCTTCTCCTCCCTGCAGCCTGTTCATTTTTCCAGCATTTTATTAAAAGGAGGCCCTGTAAGCACAGCCCTTCCACACTGGATGTGTTTGGTCTCTGCACATTTAGAAATAAGGAGGCCGAGGGGGTGGTGTCAGGAATATCTGGTTGTGGAGATCAAATATGGAAGCGGAGAGCAGCTGCCAAGCATCTATTGATAAATGAATAACACGCTACCATGTCTTTTTCTGAAATACAGAGCAGAGGCGGCAGGGACAGGAATGAGCTTGGGCCCAGCGAGGCCGGGAGGTGGTCAGCGCTCCCACAGGCCAGGCAGGAAGTGACGAGGGCAGGAGGTGGTGGGGGCGGCAGGTGGTTCCAGGGCTGATCAGAGCAGAGATGGAAGCAGGCTGGGGGGAAGGGCACACATCAGATGGAGGACAGCTCCTGGCTGCACGATTCCTTAGATTCAGGGGACTTCCCTGGTGGTCCCGTGGTTAAGACTTCACCCTCCAGTGCAGGGGATGTGCATTTAATCCCTGGTCGGGGAGCTAAGATCCCCCATGCCTCGAGGCCAGAAAACTAAAACATAAAACAGAAGCAATATGGTAACAAATTTAGTAGAGACTTTAAATAAATAGTTCACATCCAAAAAGGTATCTTTAAAAAAAAATTCCTGCGATTTCCCTGATGGTGCAGGGGTTAAGAATCTGCCTTTCAATTCAGGGGACGTGGGTTCGATCCCTGGTCAGGGAACTGAGGTCTCCTGTGCCACAGGTCAACTAAACCTGCACACTGCAGCTAAGGCCCAACACACCCAAATAAATAAATGAACATTGTTTAAAAACTTTCTTAGGTTCAAACCAGTGGGTCTTTAGAGCCCTTCCTCTGCCTCAGCTCCTGGGGTCTTCTGGTGGGACTTGGCAGGGGGACTCTCAAAGAGGGTTCTCGGGGTCGCCTGCTGAAATAAGTCAGCCCGTGTCTCTCGGCTCCTCCACAGAGCAACTGGACGTGGTGGGGCGGGTGATGCAGTACGTCAACGGGGCGGCCGTGACGCACCAGCTGCCTGTGGCGGAAGCCATGCTCACCTGTAGGCACAAGTTGTGAGTGCACCCGGGGTGGACTCTTGAAAACAGGTTGGGTGGGCTAGATAAATCTTCGGTTCTTTTGCTTTTTCACGTCCTCCTCCTCCCCACCGCATTTCCCTCATGGGAACCCAAGAGAGTAGTGCCTTTCCTTCCCTGCCCGGGCATGCCCCCACCCACCGTGGGCGCCCCCTCGGTACAGACGTGGGGGCAGAGGGTAGAGCGTGCACGATCGGGGCTTTCACCTCCTTTTGGAGGCTCCCTGTGCCATCCTGAGGGCAGAGGGAAGATGGCAAGTGGTGTCTGGGCTCCCTTAAAGCCTCAGTAAAGCGTGGAAAGCTTCTGTCCCCAGCTCTCCACGCGGTCTCTCCCGCCCGCTGTAAAACTCTCCTGTCTCTCCTCACAGCCCTGATGAAGACTCGTATCAGAAGTTCATCCCCTTCATTGGCGTGAGTACCAACCCCTGTCTCCTCTGTACCCCACCCACCCACCTGGCCTCCCTGGCTTCCATGTGCGCGCACGCGCACACACACACGCGCGCGCGCGCGCGAGCGGCTTTCCTGATGGCTCAGACGGTAAAGAATCTGCATGCAATACAGGAGACTCGAGTTCATCCCTGGGGCGGGAAGATCCCCTAGAGAAGGGAATGGCAGCCCACTCCAGTATTCCTGCCTAGAGAATCCCATGGACAGAGGAGCCTGGCGGGCTATAGTCCACCACACACAGTCTGACATGACTGACTCACTTCATACACTTCATACTCATCTAGACAGCAGGTCTTATCCAGGGGCGATTTTGTTCCCAGGAGACATCTGGCAGTGTCTGATCTGGGGACACGTTTGGCTGTCAGAGCTGGGAGTGGGGGTGGGCAAAGCTGGGAGTGGAGGTGGCACCAGTATCTGTGGGTGGGGCCAGGGACATGCTAACCACCCTGCAGGGCCCAGGACAGGCCCCCAGCAGAGAGCCCCGAGGGTCAGCAATGCCGGGGAGAGGAAGCTGTGGGCTGGGACAGGCCCCGAGCTGCTCCTTTCAGAGTCCTTTCCCCTTTGGGGGCTGGCCCCACGTCACCACAGGTACCACATGTTATTACTGTGGTTCTGGGGTCCCGGGGGGTGATATCCAAGGCCCTGGTTCTCCGGCTCCAGGGAAAAGAAAGCAAAGCTGTTCCAAGGAGGGGAATCTGAGACACGAGTAGCTGTCTTCAGAGACGGGGACACGAGAGGAAGGGGCTCTCTCCCCTCCTGTTTGGTCAGGGAAGAATCTTTGCACAAGTGGGTCCTGAAGACAAAGGAAAGACATCTTGGGTGTCCTTGGAGTCGGGTGGTCCCGGCCCAGGCTGCATTTGGCAGTTGGAGGGCCCCAAGGCTGAGACTGATGGAGAGAGGGAGCCTAGAGGGGACAGCTGACGCCCCTCCACCCCCGGAGCCAAAGCACAACACAGAAGCTGGCAGAGAACTCAGATTTCCCTTCTGAGATGGCTGAGTTTCTCTTCCACATCAGCTGGTATCTTTTCCTGCAGCCTCGCCAAGGGTCCCTCCCAGCCTCTAGGGAGGACGAGGCACGTGCAGGTGAGGGGCCGGCAGCCCCCATCCCTGCTCTCCGCTCATCCCAGATCCTGTGATCCTGGGTCATCCTGTGAGCCTCGAGCGATCCTGGGAAATGCCTGAGCCTGGGGTGGGGTCCTTCCCAAGGTTCCCATCTGCCTGGTCCAGTCAGTCCCCACCAGCCACTAGGGCTGGTCCTACAGCCACATCGGAGGGCCCGGGCCATGATGAGCAGCCCGGGCTGAAAGTGACCCATGTCTATATGGATCAGTGGGGTCACTGCCACTCTGGCCTCGCAGCAAAACAGAGAGAAAAAATTAAAAATGGAAACAAGCGAACGAAGGAGCTGGCAGCCTCATGCAGCAACCAGAGGAGCAAGGAGAGAGGACTCTCGTCCAGGAAGTTCGGAGTACCAGCGTGCCACTTTCCAGGCATTAAAATCAGGATGCGTAGAGTCAGGGACAGATTCCACAGAGCGGCAGCACTGTGCTCTTACCAGCTTCAAGGGAGCCACCATGTGTGTGTGACCCCCGCTCCCTGCTGTCCCCAGGGTCCGGCTTCGGTGACCCCTCCAGCAGGGCCCCTGCTGACCTCAGGCCCCTGCCCTGGCGTTCAGGTCTGTCTCTGGCTGTACCCTTTTCTGGCCACTGGAGGGCCCCCTCTGCCCTTCCCAGAATTCTCTCAGAGGAATCTAAAATTCTCTGGGGAGCTGACATCAGTATCACTGCCCAGGGCTGGGCTTGGAGTCAGGGGTCCCTGGAATTCTCCCCCTCCTCATTGGTGTTCCTCCAGATTCCTGTTCCAGCATGTTCCCCACCCCCATCTGTACCCCACTCCCATCTGCCGAGGTTTTCTCCCTGTCCTCCCCTCTCTGACCTGAGAAGATGGTCTCCTGCCCAAATGATCTTAGAAGAAATGAGATCAGGATACAAAAGGGTGTATCCTTTTTGTATAAGGCTTTGCCCACATCCCCAGAGAAGAGCTGTGGGTCTCCTGCACCCCCGATTCGCTGTTTGCAGCTGGGTTTGCTTACCTCTCCTGATGATCCCAGCTGCTAAGAATCGGCAGAGAGTTTCGAAGCCTGCGATCAAACAGCGTGCGGTTTTGGCCGCTGGGTCCAGTTGACCCGAAGGTGTCTGGCTTGGGTGGGCAGACCTAATGCAGGGTCTCTTCTCCCTTGCAGGTGGTGAAGGTGGGTCTGGTCGAAGACTCTCCTTCCACGACAGGTGAGCCTGGGGCCCCTTGGCCTCTACTGGGTAAGGATAGTGCATCCCGCCCGCCTGCTCCCTAGTCAGGCAGGCCAAAGGGTGAAGACGAGGGGGTCCCAGGCCAAGGCAGGGCTTGAGCCGCAGGGTTCGAGCCCCAGGGCGGTGACGGAGCAGGCTGCGGCCAAGACCGGTCAGGGCAGTTTCCTCTGGCCGACCGTGTCTGCCCCCCCCCCGCAGGTGATGGTGACGATGCACCCGTGGTCAGCCTGACTGTGCCTTCCACGTCGCCACCTTCCAGCTCAGGCCTGAGCCGAGATGCCACGGCCACCCCTCCCTCCTCCCCGTCCATGAGCAGCGCCCTGGCCGTCATGGGGTAAGGCTGTGGCCAGTTCCTGTCTGTCCCCCAACACGCCTTCATCGGGGCGGCGCCTGTCTGATTCCCCAGCTGCCCCAGTGTGTAGGATGGTGACCCCGGGCCTGGAAGGTCAGCGGGGGGAGTCAGGTCACTGGCCAAGCCAGTCATCACACAGCTTGCTCCCACGAGCTCCCGTCTGTCCTGTCTGCCCCCTGGGTATAATGGCAAGTGAGACCCGGGGCACCGAGGCCCTTCTTGCCTGCCAGGTGCTGCACGTAACAAGGGTAGGACTGCCGGGTCCGGGGGAGGGAGTGTGGGCCCAGGTGTCAGACACCTGGATTTGCGTCATGTCCACACAGTTGCGTCCACCATGTGTGTTTGTGTTAAAGAACAAACTGCTCAGTGACACTTGTCAAAGCAAGAACAACTCTGTCGAAGGTGGGAACGGCTGCCGTAGGCGTGGGCACCCCCACGGTGGGACTCTGCAGCGGGAGCTGGGACTTTGGGTGGAGCAGAAGCAGGAGGGGGCAGAGGCAGTAAAAGTACTAAGAGGAACTTTGGGAGTTCCAATTCCGGCTAAACTGCCCTGACAGAAGTCTCATGAAGACACTCCTGAGGGGTGGAGGGTGAGGAGCCCTGATCAGAGACGCAGGGCGGTCAGAAATGCGGGGCAGGGGGGATTCTTGCGAGGACTGGATTTTCCGAGGCCCAGAAAGAGGTTCAGGAGCCTGACTAGTTTGAGCACGGGATCTCGGTCGCTTGGACAAGCTACTCAGCTCCACTCACACCCCATGAAAGTAAAGGTGAAGCAGCCACAGGGTTTTGCTGTGAGGTGGAGATAAGAGCCTCGCGGTCAGCGCCTGGCCCGAGGAGGCGCGGCCTCCTTCCCCGTCACCCAAGGGCCCCTGCGGCCAGTGACGTGGGCAGGTCGGACCCCGGGCTCCTGGGCCCCGGCAGGGCCAAAGCCGTGGAGAGACTGCTGTGACCGAGTAGGGAGGGGTGGCCAGGAAGCAGAGGGAATTCCGTTAGGATCTGAGATGTCCAGAGCTTAGATCAGGTGGTCAAGGAGGCCTCTGGGGAGCTGACGGGGGCAGGGGAGGGGGCAGCCGAGGAGCCAGAGGCGTTCCTGCCGCTTCCTCCTGCTCCCTTGCTGCTCCCCTCACCTCCTCCTGGTCTCCTGGGGATGCTCTGTGAGGAGCAGAGGGTGGGCACTCGCCGGTGGCTTTTCCAGAACCCCGGACAACAGTGCCGTGGTCCCCAAAGAATCCTAAGTGTCTCGGGGCGGAGCCCGGACCCCAGGCCTCCCCCTCGCTCGCCCTGTCTCTGCTCTCCGCTCCCCATCGGGGTCTGCCGCTGACTTGCCAAAGTGCAGGAAGAGGAGGGAATCCCACCAGCAGGTCACGCGGTGGCCTCACGGTCCAGGCTCCCTGGGGCCTGGGGACCAGCCTCACCCCGACCTCTTTTCCCATCCGGTTTAAGCTTGTTTTTTAATGGAACCGCTGAATCCAGGCAGAAAGAAACATCAGATGATTTGTGTAGCCTGTACCTATTGTGTCTGACGCCTCCTTTCAAGAAAATATCAGCTCTTTTTCCCCTCAGAGCTAAAATTATCCCTGAGCTAGAAGCGCCATAAACGAGAGAGAAAGCCACAGGTCGGCTGCTTTCCCCCAGCGGCTCTGCCACCGCCTAATGCCCGCCTCTGCCCCACTTAGTCTCTCCCACCCTCGGCGGGGGTTTCTGCCTGCTGGGGGTCGTGCGTGTGCACACGTCTGCACACATGCTCACGCACATGTGTCCTTGTGTGTGGGTGTGTGTGCACACATTTTCTTCCCTCACAGAGCTTCCTTCCTCTCTGCTCCCCTTCTTCCTGGGCTCTCCTGTGGGCACTTGGGGCCTCGCCCTCTCCTGGCCTTGTTCTCAGGTCAGCCTGACTCCGCACTCCACCCCAGCCTGTTCTGTGAGGCTGGAGGGAACCGGGAGCCCCTGGGCTGGCGTCTCCTCCAGGCCCTCCCCGCCCCGTCTGCCCTTGGCGGGCGCTGAGCCTCCCCACCGCCATTACCGCCCCTCTCCAGGAGTCCCAGCAGCCCGTACGGGGACGTGATTGGCCTCCAGGTGGACTACTGGCTGGGCCACCCCGGGGAGCGGAGGAGGGAAGGCGACAAGCGGGACGCCAGCTCCAAGAACACCCTCAAGAGCGTCTTCCGCTCAGTGCAGGTTTCCCGCCTGCCCCACGGCGGGGAGGCCCAGCTCTCCGGCACCATGGCCATGACCGTGGTCACCAAAGAGAAGAACAAAAAAGGTAAGTGACTCGAGAGGCCAGGGGCAATCAGGGCCTCCAGGCCTTCCCGTCTCCTCTCTCAGGGTCGGGACAGGATCCGCTTCTGGGAGAGAGACCCCGGATGAGCACAGAGGCAGCAAGCACATGTATCATGGGGTCCCGCCCCACCACACAGGACTGAAGTGGTTCTTTCTGTCACAAAGGAAACCGAGGTCCCCAGGGAGTCACCGGTCCCTGCCTGCTGAGCATCGGCACCTTTGGGGCGAGGCAGTTTGCGCTGCCATGAATAAGGGAGGCTTCCTGGCCAGTGCCCTCAGGGATGGATGTTGTGACCCAAAGGTTGTCCCCACGCCACGGCTCCCAACCCCCAACCCCGGAGGCCACCCAGGCCTTGATGAACAAAGGGTGTGGTTTGACGAGAGCCTGTCCCGGGGAGCAGACAGCTTCAGCACCCGCAGGGGGAGGGGTCCTGCACTCTGAGGTGAGGCAGGAGCCCCGATACCCGGGGGCGGGGGCAGCACTCACAGGTACGGTTCCCGCGGTGAACCCCCACATCTGGCTCTGCATTTGCTGGAGCAGGCGGGTGACTCGGGCTGCTTGCCGCCTCCCAGCTGTCAGGAAGGGGCTTCCTTCCTGCTGGGCCTCGCCTTCCTCCTCTGGGAGCATCCTTTGCATTCCTGTCTCTGCCCTCAAAGGTGCCCCGGGAGGGCAGGCAGGCCTCGTGCCAGGCCCACAGCCAGAACGCCCCCCACCGTGGCACCCAGAGACCCGCCAAGGGCGGCCTAGGGCTGAGCTTCTATGTAGCCTCCCTGCCAGCCACACAGACACAGCCCCACGCAGGCACTTGAGTGGGTGGACAGAGGCGCCCGACAGGGCAGCTGGCCCCCTACCCACAGGCTTTCAGAACATTCAAGCCGGAAGGGACTCCGAGCCCATGTGGCCCAGGCCCATGTGGCCCCAGGTCCTGTTACTCAGTGAAGGTACCGAGGCCCAGGGAGAAGGGCAGGAGCTTGGAGATCCTGAGACATAGCCCCCGAGGCAGACAGGCGGGGGGCGGGGGGGGGGGGGGAGTGGGGAGTCTGCTTTCTTTGAATCACCGCCCTTCCAGCCTGGAACGGGGGCAGTGGGTGGGGGAGAGCACAGCCGCCTTTCCAGGAGCGGTGACAAGGCGGTTCCTGCTTGCTTTCCAGTTCCCACCATCTTCCTGAGCAAGAAGCCTAGAGAAAAGGAGGTGGATTCTAAGAGCCAGGTCATCGAGGGCATCAGCCGCCTCATCTGCTCTGCTAAGCAGCAGCAGACCATGCTGAGAGGTGCGGGCGTGGGAGTTGGGGGGTGGAAGGGAGGCTGCGGCCCTCCCCGGCATCCTCCCCGGTCATCCACACGCCTCCCCTCTCACCCCCAGTGTCCATCGACGGGGTCGAGTGGAGCGACATCAAGTTCTTCCAGCTGGCAGCCCAGTGGCCCACCCATGTCAAGCACTTTCCAGTGGGACTGTTCAGTGGCAGCAAGGCCCCCTGAGGGCACCGTCTCCCAGCCGTGCCCCTTCCTGGCGCTGCCACCAGCCTCACCGCCTGCAGGCAGGGGGAGGCCAGCGGGCCCCGGGCCCAGTGTCCCCTCTGCTGGCCCCGGGGCCTGCATCTCCCTGGCCCGGTCTTGCTGGACACTGCCACCCACCGGGGCCGCCGTTCCCTGCCACTGCTCGGTCCCAGTCCTGGGCAGCCCCCCAACTCCCTCCTTTTCCTCCCCCTCCGCTCCTGGCCCAAGGCATGTTGACTGTGCCTTTCAGTGCCCACCCCTGCCCCTGGAATCGAGTCCTCCAGGCCTTCCCTCACCTCACCTGACTTCAGCCTCTTTCTCCACGTGGCACCAGTTCTCTTCCTGGAAATAGGAAACCTGGGGTCCTGGCCCACGGCCAGCATTCCAGCCTCCCCCTGCCACCCCCAGGATCCCATCTTCTAAAGCTCAGCTGCCAGACACCACACAGGCAGCCTCCCTCTAGGGATGCCCAGCACCAAGGCCACTTCCCCCTGCTGTGGGGGTGACAAGGGCACAGACACCCCCCCACCCCAAGACAGAGTTGCTGCTGTGATGCGTGGGTTTCTGGGGTGCAGGAGCCTTCGTGGTCTCACCCTGCATGGTTCCCCCATGCCCAGGTCCCCTGGAGGTGTCACATGTGTCCCTGAGCAGTTCTTTGGTTCTCTGCACCGCCAGTCTCTCAGTGGTTTCTGTGACTCGCCGGGGGGCTGGGCCCTGTCCTTAGATCCCCCCTCACCCCCACCCCGTTGAGGACTTTCTCCCCGGCCCTGCCTCGGGCCCTGGGGAGGTGGGAGGCAGACCCTGCCAACACGTCTGCGGCCCAGTCCCTTCCGCTCCCTGTACCCCGTGTCCCTCCCTCCTCACCTGGGCCCCTGGCCTGGGCAGGCCCCATCCTCCCAGGCCTCCCCCGCTGTGGCCTCAGGCGCCTAAGCCCCTCCTCAGCCCCCACCATCGGCCTTGGCCGGAGACCCGAGGCACGTGGGACAGAGCTCCGGCTGCAGCCTGCCAACGCCTCCGCCTCTGGAGCTTCAGCCCTGGCCTTCTCACCCCTTCTAGAAGTTTTTGCACAGAACTTCATTTTGGAAAGTGTTTTTCTCATTCTCCATACCTCCCCCAGACTCCGCCATCCCTTCCCCCAGCGCAGCCCTGCCGTCCAGAGTGGTCCCCAGGGCTGTGCTGCTCACTGGGCCGGAGAGAGGGGCAGGGTGGGAGGGGCTGAGGATGTTGGGTTTTTCATTCAATAAACTGGTGATTTCTTAGCAACGAGCAATCCTTGGGTCTCCGCGCCTCTCATTGTGACACAGGATCCGTCCAGCCTCGCTCGTCCTTGCCGCACAGTGTGGCCACTGACCACACTCACAATCAGTTGGGAGGGGGACTTCCCTGGCGGTCCACTGGCTAAGGCTCCGCACTCCAATGCAGGGGGTCTGGGTTCGATCCTCACCAGACTCCACAGGCCACAGCTAAGACCTGGTACAGCCAAATAAATATTAAAAATCAATTAGGAGGGAATACCTGACACTCCAGCGGTTAAAATTTTGTGCTTCCAATGTAGGGAGCATGGATTCCATCCCTGATTGGGGAACTAAGATCCCACCTACCCCATGGTGTAGCCAAAAGAAAAAAAAAGTCAACAGGGAACTGGCTGGAAAGAAGCCTATTCCCATTTACTTGATTATAGAAACAGGTGTGAAGGTGTGTTGCCCCATATGAGGCAAAGCAAGGTCAGGAATAGAAGTCACGCCATTCCCACGCCGAAACCCCATTTTTCTCGGGGACCCGCCATCCCCAAATCCCACCTCCTAAGTCAGTGACACGTCATCCACACTCTTCCAACTGGAGATGAGAACTCGGCTTCTCTCCCGCACTGGATCATATTTTCTGGAAGTTGGTGAAGCCTGAGGTCTGGGGGGAGGGGGATGAGCTCAGGTCCACCATCAGTTCCCTTTCCTGCCTGCCCTTAACCCTGGAGGTGACAGATTCCTGCTCCTGGGACACCTGGCTCTTCACGCGCTCCCTGTGTCCTCCCATGCAGGACACAGGCCTGCATGCCAAGCCTCCTTCAGCAAATAAGTGTTCAGTAATGGGGGCTTGTGTTCCCCCCCAACCCCAGGACACAACGGCCAGGTGAGGCAGGCTGTCCCCAGCTCCCCAAGCCCCATGGCCAGTCACCTAATGGAGGCTCTGGGACCCATTGGTGAGACCACCCAGGCTCTCTGGGCCTGGAAGATGGAACAAATGCCCACCGCCCGAGGGGCAGAGTCCAGTCGGGTACCAGAAGTTGTCCCAGAAACGCAGTCTGCACTGCAGTTCTCCGATAAAGGATACAAGCCGGCCAGTGAGAGATATGCCTGGAGAGGTGGAGGCTGAGGTGGGCTAGAGAGGTGGGCAGAGCCCCCCAGAGGCTCTGTGGGGCAGGGGCCTGGGGGCCTGGGAGCTGGTGGGAGACCCGAGTGGGACGAGCATGGACAAACAGACTCAGGTCCCAGCTCAGAGCCCAGTCGGGGAAGCAGATGATGGAGACCGGAGTGTGATCTCCCTGACCTGACTCCCAGCCCCACTCTGGCCCGGGTGACCACTTGGCCCTGCCCCAGGTCCCTCCCGCTTTCTCCAGGGCTTCCTCTCCTGCATCACTGGTGCACCGCCCCCCACCAGATCTGTCACATCCCGTGTACACAGGCAGTAATAGCTCCTTGGTTCTAAAACCTCTCTGCTCTCCCAACAGAGGAAGTCTTCCAAAGGGGGCAGGGGGCTTCTGGGCCTCCTCCTCACTACCCCATCAGGCGCTCCCTTGCCAAGGTCACTGATGTCCTTGGCTGCTTAGCCCTGGAAGGTACTCAGCGTTCTGCCCTCCCCACCCCACCCCACCCCCCGCTTCTTAAACTTCTCTTTCTGGGTCTCCTTTGTTCCCTCCTCATCTTCCTGGCCTTGGGAAATTCTCCGGGTGTGCAGACATGCCCCTGACTCAGCAGTTGAGCGTGCATGCGTGCTAAGTCACTTCAGTCATGTCCAACTCTTTGCTACCCCATGGACCATAGCCCACCAGACTCCTCTCTGTCCGTGGAATTCTATAGGCAAGAATACCAGAGTGGGCTGCCATTCCCTCCTCTAGGGGATCTTCCTGACCCAGAGATCGAACCCGAGTCTCTTATGTCTCCTGCGCTACCTGAGAGGCCACGACTCTGCAGTTGCTAAATCTTTGGAATCATCCCTGAGTCCCCTCTCTCACACCCAGCACCCACTCCCACGGCAAATCCTATAGGCCTGCCCGTCAGACCAGAACCCTGCAGCTCTTGCTGCTTTCACTGCTCTCTGGATATTGTAATAGCTTCCTAATTACCTCCGCTTCCACCCACTCTTCCTGTAGCCTATTCTCTACACAATAGCCGGAGGAAGTCTTTTAAAATGTTAATTAGAAGACGTTAAATTACTTATCCAAACTGTCCAATGGCTTCCCATGTCACCCAGAATATAATCCAAACCCCTCCACACAACTTCCAGGGCCCTGCAGTGCTGACCTCCTGGGGGCTGCTCACCTCTGGTCATTCTCCCCCTCGCTCACGGCCTCCTCTATATTCCTCAGACGCACAGGGCACACTCTGCCACAGGGCCTTTGCACGAGTCGTTCCCCCTGCCCTTCCTGCTCCAGCCTCTGGTCATGTGACTTGCTTCCTCTAGTCTTGGCTGCCTCTGGGGCCTAGAATAGCACCTCTCTGGACTTCTCCTGCGGCTCAGTTGGTAAAGAATCCACCTGCAATGCTGGAGACCCGGGTTCAATCCCTGGGTTGAGAAGATCCCCGGGAGAAGGGAAAGGCTACCCACTCCAGTATTCTGGCCTGGAGAATTCCACGGACTGTATAGTTCATGGGGTTGCAAAGAGTCGGACACAGCCGAGCGACTTTCACTTTCACTTTCCTTTTTACCAAGGAGGATGCCAAACGTCAGAGAGCCACACCTCCCAACATGCTCGACTCTCATTTTTAATCATTTACTTGACTCGAATATGCCCAGGCGTCTCAAACCTAATATGGCCAAAATCAAGAACCTTGATTTCCCTGGCTCCTCCTAGACTGAGTCAATGGCAGTAGCATCCATCCTATTACTCAAGCCAGAAACTCACGAGTCATCCTGTGTCATCCCAGGGGCTCTGGTCCATCCTGCCTCCCAGCAGCCCTGCTCCCCGGCTAGAGTCCTGCAGCAGCTTCCTAATACCTCTGAATATAGCCACCCAACCCACAGCCCATCAGCCTGCGCTGTCTCCCCACCCCTACCGCTCTAGCTTCACTTTCAGTTGCTTCACGCCCCCTGTCTCCCACCCCAGAGCTCACCACGCTCGGGCCACACCTGATCTTTCAGTGGTCAGATCCCTCCTCCCTGCACAAGAGCCCAGACATGCCACTCTCTCCACCTTACACGCTCTCCCTGCCCCACAGAGCATCCCCTTTTCCTTTATTCGTCGCTGTGTGCAAGCTCTTCTGCGTTGCGGCACATGGGCTTCTCCTGCTGCAGCACACAGGCGCCCTAGTTCCAGCCTAGCTGCCCCACGGCATGTGGGATCTTAGTTTCCCAACTAGGGATCGAACCCACATCCCCTGCATTGGAAGACGGATTCTTAACCACTTTTCTCCCCCTTTCCCTTTGGCTGTGGCCTGCCCACCACCTCCTCAGACAGGTTTTCCCAACCACCCTGCTCCAAACCCCATTTAGTCTCTCGCGAACACTCAAAGGTCAGATAAAGGAAAGTGGGGTAGGTAAGTTGCTTGTCCAACACACTCAGAGTGGCTGAGAAGGAGCCGGATTTTTGACCCAGGTCAGAGGACTCCAGACCATCTCTCAAGGCCCTGCTCAAATCCCAACTTCCCAAGATTCCATCCATCCTACATGTATTAAATTCCTGCCATGGGCCAGTTCCTGTCCTCGGCATGATGACACATGGATGAATCTAGGGCTGGGTCCTAACCTACATGGAAACCGTGAGCCTC